CTAACCGTTAGCCGTTGCTAGCCGTTAGCCGTTGCTAGGTGCTTGCGTTACCTCGCGTTAGCCGGGGCTAGCGAGCAGGCTAATGCGCGCTAACGTGAAGGAGTCGTTGGTGTAGCCAGCTGCGACTTAATGTTGCCCTCTCCGCCGCTCGTAGCATCCGCACTCACACCCCGTGCTGTGTCCTCACACGGCTGCTGTCGTGTGAGCAGCTCGGGTGTTGATGTAAGAGCCCGGAGCTCTTTAAACGTTAGCGCCATGCTGTCCACTAACCTTAGTGTTGGCGAATGCACTGTCATCAAGAAGAAGACAGAAAGTCTGAGGCCTCGGACCATAAACCTCTCACCAGTTTAGCTTAGCTTGCCACCAGGCAGCTACGGGTTGAGTTACGGTGTGTTTTTTTTTTTTTTAAACTTTGCAAAACCAGACGGAGGTGGCTCACTTAAAAGCACGTAGCGATAGTTGTAGCAGGCCACACGGGAGGTTATCCTGTTTAATCACATCAGAAGTTGTTTCAGGTGTCACAGTGCAGTACAACCTGGCTTCACCTGGTTTGACAGCAAGAGGTAAAAGTCTTCACAGTTTGAAAAACACTCATTCCTTGTGTAAGAGGGCTGTGTGCTCACACGAAGAAGGCTTTATACTACTAATACTTGTGTTTTTGTCATCCACAGCTGAAAACTGCACATTCCCAGTTCATTTGTGTGTTCAGGCCTGGTTTTGCTCAACAAATCTTTTTCATATTTTGATGTTTTTTGCTTACGTGATGTCTCGTAGAAAGGAAATCCCCCCCCCCGTAATACTCGCTTACCTATTATCCAAAGTTTACCAAATAAGGCAGTTTTCCCTTCAAAGGAAGCGTCAGTGAGTCAGGAGCTGGAATATCGTGTGTAATAACTGTGAAGTCCCGCAGAAAATAACTGGTTTTGTTTGTCATGTAACTGTGGACAAACACACAGATAATAGCAGTAATATTTGCTATGATTATGTGTAATAATAGTCATAATCTAATTGAAATTAACATTACGTCCGTTGCTTCGCTTTCCTCCACTCAACTTCTTCCTCTCTCGACCAGTTTGGTTCACGTTTGTATCCAGATCGACGCAGAAAAGCCACCTGACAGTGTGTGTGTGTGCAGTGTGAGTTCGCTTTCAGGTGCTTCGCGTGGTTCTGGCGTTCGTCTGTGTTGCGTCTTTGAGGAATGTCCGAGTTCTTCCGCTGCTGGCACTTCGTGGGGTTGGTGCCACTCCAAAACACGGAGATTACTTTCTCACAGTCGGGGCCCTGCAGACGTAGACGCAAGGAATTTGTAACGTTATTGTGAGGCTCCACTTATTTGACTTTGCATTCTTCTCTTTCTCTTTCTTTCTTTTCCAGGTGTGAGCTGTGACGCGTGTTTGAAAGGGAACTTTAGAGGAAGACGGTTCAAGTGTTTAATCTGCTACGATTACGACCTGTGTGCGTCGTGCTACGAGAGCGGAGCTACGACGACCAGACACACCACAGAGCACCCCATGCAGTGTATATTAACCAGGGTAGACTACGGTGAGGACCGAAACTCGTTTGGCTTTGTGACCAGACTTTATCACGCCTGTGTCGTGCCATGATTACATTTTACGACTTAACTGTAGCCTACTGAGCGATTACCAATCATTCATCGTGCTTTCATTCACGACTGATGCAATTTATTGAGTGTAATCTTCTACTGAGGTACGTATTTGTGTTAATAATTAAAATATGGATTGACAATAGCTCTGTTTACCGTCTCCTTGCAGATCTGTATTACGGAGGTGACACTTTTTCAGTAGACCAACCCCAGTCGTTCACATGTCCTTACTGTGGCAAGATGGGCTACACAGAGACGTCCCTACAGGAGCACGTCACCTCAGAACACGCAGAGACTTCCACAGAGGTGGTGAGTATACTGCACACACATGATCGCAGCGTAAATGTACACGTTTTAAACCGTCATTTAATGTATTGGTCATCATTAACGTCCACAATAAAACAAAGTTGTCCCAGCATCCTATCTTGCCTCCACTTACGTACAGTGTATTGAAATCATTAGATGGATGGATTCATTGTTTTACTCTCCTCTGTCGGCGTCACTAGAGCTCAGTCTGCTGTTGCTTTTGAGCGCCGCACGTCAGCCGGCTACAATGACTTCCCAGAACGTTGGTGCAGAAGACATTTATGGATTACTTGTTGTCAGAGCAGGATTTTTTTATGAGTGTCGTCCTCTGCTGAATAAACGGAGCAAAGCAAGGCGGAGGGGTCCGGTTTCGTCTGACAGTGCTGACACCTGCATGGCTGGTTAGGAGGTAGTCTGTCAGACAGGTGACCCTTGTAGGCACACAGGTAGAGCCGGCTCAAAGTATCTGTGCTCCAGTTGATCATCTGTGGAGAGTTGTTGTGCTGTTTTGTTGGATTCTCTTGCTGATCCCACAGCGGAGAGAGAGAGAGTCGCTGTAAAAGAGAGGGGCTTTGATGGATAAGGCTGGTGTTATTCTACACTTCTGTTTTTATCAATGAAATCATTCCATCTCTCAGTACTACGGCTGCAGCCATCGAATATTTCATCGAGTAATCGGATAAAACAGGTTTACTACTTTGCATTAATATGGTTAACAAATAAATGTCAATTTTTCTTAAAAGGAACAAATTGGTTGTTTATTTTAGTGATCTCTTGTTTTCTTATTGTATATTTTATAATTGGGCTTTAATTAAGAAAAGAGTATTTTTATCCGATTGCTCGATTAATCGATAGAAATATTTGATAGAATACTCGATTACCAAAATATATCGATAGCTGCAAGCCCTACTGACAAGCTCAGGGAAATGTTTTTCTGAAAACTAGTTGGACACTCATCCTGTCGTACGGCGGGTTGATTACATGCCTAAAACCACTTATACGTACACTAAATCAAACTAAAAACCCATTTTAAAAGAGAGAATTAGAGAATAGTTTGCTTTAATTCTGTACAAACATGAGATTTTGAA